TTCTCCACCGGACGGCATCGTACTTGGCCACGGAAGAGCTCCAATTCTACGAGGAAGGGAACACGGTCTTCCACGACCGTTGTCGCTCTCCCTCGTAGAATCAAAGCTCCTCCTTGACGTCCGTTACCGCTCGGCAGAGAACGTGCTCGCCGAGATGAACACGGTCCGCAAGTTCAACTAGCTACTTTAACCTTATTTCATGTAAATATGCAAGCTTGAAGTGATTTTGAGCTCAAATTGCTTACAAATAAAAAAAACCACAATAAAGAACCATATATATATATATAGTGAACAAAATGAGATAAGACAATGGTGAAAAATAAGAGTATGAGATTGGTAACCTTTACAACTGAAGAATCGACGGAGGAATCGAAGAAATCGACGGAGGAATCGAATAATGGATGGAGGAACAATGGAGGGAGGGAGGAAGCAAGAACACTAGTGCAGTGAGCTTCAAAATGTGCTGAGCTCGGGCTCGGGGAGGAAGAAGGAGACGGCCGGGATATAAAGGGGGGACCTTTAGTCCCGTTGGTGGCTCCAACCGGGACTAAAAGTAACTTTCAACCCCGGCGCAGCCACGGCCCGGAGTAGACCTTTACTCCCGTTGGAGCCACCAACCGGGAGTAAAAGTATTTTTAGTCCCGGTTGGTGGCTCCAACCGAGACTAAAGGTCCCTGCCACCTCTGTCTGGCGCAGTAGCCGTTGGGGCAGGGACCTTTAGTCCCGGTTGGAGACATCAACCGGGACTAAAGGTATTTCTAATCCCGGACGCAAAAAATTTCAGGACTAGAGTCCATTTTGGCCGAGGATCAAAGAGCTGTTCTCTACCGGTGAATGCACCTGTTTCTAAAATGTCAAGGTCGGCAAGGCAGCCTGGAAGAAGTTGAGCTGGCACTGTAGTGTACATGATTCCAAGATTCCATGTCAGTGTCAGAAACAAGTGGCCGGCCGGTTTTGGGCTGAAACCTTAAAACCACGTCCACTCGTGCGTGGTTTCAACGGAGCTGGGAAAGGTGCATGCATGCAGGCCTGAACACGAACAGAGCAAGCCACGGCCACGAGTTAGCTGAGCTGACTACCCGTAACTAACTAAGATCCGTTATATATATATAAAAAAAAAAACTAAGATCGTCGGCATGCATTTACATCCACAAATAGATGTGCTATCCTGGTGGTGGCACATGGAGCGAGTGAGCCTGGGGACTTGGAATATTCGGACATGTCATTAGCTCAACTCAACTGGATGAATTACTTGGTCATTAGCAACTAGCAAGTCTTGTCAACACAGCTGCTTACATGCATGTGTGCCTGTGTGTATATCCAGTCATCCAGTGTGTAGTAGTAGTAGTTCATGGCCTTTATTGTCGGCGACGACTGGCGTTGGTTGATCGGTTGCGATGCTAACAAAACTAAACAGGGCGGTGTATATAATATATAATATAAAACAGGATAGGCATGAGGTAGCCGTAGCCCGCCGATCGACCTCCGTGAATGGATTGAGACGACGCAAAACAAGGTAGAGATAGCTCACAGCTGCGGTTTCTTCGTTCGGCGCCGAACGAAACCGACCTCGAGACAATCTCATCGGTTGTGTGTACTGTGCCGCGAGCCACGCTGCCGCCGTCTGCCTGTCTCCAGCAGATGTGCACTACCTACTTTTGTTAATTAATGTATATTACTCGTAACAATAGTGACTCTTGAGTGTATCGACAAAGTGTCATCTCTGCTCAGCAGCATGATGCATGGTAGGTCCATGTGGGGGATGACGAGAACGATCGAGCGTTGCCTCTCCTCATCCCTGCAGGCTGCAGCTAGCAATATCGAAGTAGGCCATGCATGGCGAGTTGGCGAGCAGAAGAAGAGAAATATCGTAGCTACTCTAGTCTAGCAACCTAAGGGCACCCACAATCGTGAGAGCTACTTACTAACTCTAAGTCAATTTTTTCAATAATGTTATTATCTTTTAGCACATAACTTTTAACATAGATGGACCTACATAACACTCTTACGTAACTTTAAAATGTATATAAAAGCTTAGCTCTTAATTAAGAGCTAGTTTTTCTCTCTTTTCTATTAAAATATAAAAAAAATACTTAGATGTAGCTAAAAAACTAATTGTTGGAGCTGCCCTAAGTCGTGAGCTCTCCCGGAGTAGGGACGACTAGCACTAGCTTAGAGGGTGTTTGATCAAGTGACTAAAGTTGAGGAGATGTCACATAAGGGTGTCATATGAGGTGTTCGATACTAATAAAAAAATAAATTACAGAATCCGTCAGTAATCCGCAAGATGAATTTATTAAGCCTAATTAATCCGTCATTAGCACATGTTTACTGTAGCACCACATTGTCAAATTATGAACTAATTAGGTTTAAAAATACGTCTCGCAAAATAGTCTCAATCTATACATTTAGTTTTATAATTAGTCTATATCTAATATTTCATGCATATGTCTAAATATTCGATGAAACAATAACTAAAATTTAGGAGGAGCCAAACACCTTTCGGTGTGAGTTCAATAATATAGAGGACCACCATCCCTGATTGGACTCCATATATTCCCTTTCCTGCTTTCCAGAACTTTCATCACCAGTACGCTCGCAGGCTCAAGCAAGTCGATCCTCGATCGAGAGCAAGGAACAAGAAATGCATCCAACAACCTGCTCGCTGTAGCTGCATGCTGGTGCACGAAATAGTTGAGATTTACTGTACCATCATGTACTTGAAACGACCGCAGCCGCAGAAAGCTCAAGTGATGATATGGCGCGCGTTTGGTCAACTGTCACACAGTGCTGCTGTGTCTGTGTGCCCCCGCCACCGGGGAGCAGAGCAAAGCTAGCGGACACGGGAGTTCGTAGGTCCGGCGGGCACATGCATGAGCACGATGACAGGTGATAAAGGATTGGTCCACTGCTTCAACAGTAATTTTCAGCGAATACTGTATTTAACAGTATTTTAGCATAAACATCCCCGTAAGGCAAACTTTCTGGACTCGCTGGAACAGTGCAGCACGTCGAGAACTGCTTCAGACTCGGAAGCTAGCTAAGCGATCGCCGATCGATATGGGGAGCAGAGACCTGACATTCGAGAAGGACGCAGCTCCAACCGCTACTGCAGCGTCCTGCTCCGCGCCGTAATTCCGCGTCTTGGCGTGCAGCTGTGAACTGTTCATGCCGTCCCCGTGCTGCCAAGGTTCATGCACTGCGTTGCATTGCCATTGCATGCACTCCGCGCCGTAATTCCGCGTCTTGGCGTGCAGCTGTGAACTGTTCATGCCGTCCCCGTGCTGCTAAGGTTCATGCACTGCGTTGCGTTTGACTGCAGAAGAACCTCTATGGTGTACTCTATGGAGCTAGGTAGCTAGCTTAGCTGTTCTTGAACAGTTTATGGATCGCGATCGCGATTTAGACGAGACTGTCTCTATCACACGTGACCTAAAATATAAGATTTTATTCATCCTTTAGTAGCGCTACAGACAAATGGTTTAATATCTATTTTTTATCTTCTCCAATAATAAAATCCAAAAGACAATTTTTTCTGTAAATGAGTCTTCAGGAGGGAGGATATTCAAATTTGGGTTATGCCTCTCCTGGCACCTAAAATGAGTCTTCCATATAAATACTCTATTGAATGCTATAAATATTATGTTGGAGACCTATTCTAGATTTAAGTTCATAATAGATTTTGTGTCGGAGACAGCCCCATGAATGAATCGTGGTGTCTACCCATGTTGCTTTTTTTAACATGTCGACATTGGGGGTACTATACGAAAGGAATCGGAGTGGCGACGCACTCATGGAGCCGGCTCCATTTGAGTATTACCAAAGGAATCGGAGCTGTCAACCATTTGAGTTGTCTGAAACTTTCACTGCCCATTTATATGTCACAAATTACACGTAGTGGTAGTGCCCTAAGGATTATTACCGGTTAGGGGTGCAAATCACTATTACTCATTCGTCCACAAAAGAATACAACTATGGTGTCTATACCTGTTAAAGTTGTCTATAAGTTTGAACAAGAGTCGGTTTATTATGAAAGTATATTTCATAACGAATCTAATGCTATTTATTTTGTATCATAAATATTGGTATTGGCCCCGTTCGGTTTGCTGAAACTTGGCTGAAAGTGACGGAAAAACACTGTTTTGGCTGAAATGTTATGAGAGAAAAACACTGTTCCGGCTGAAAAAAAAAGCCGAACAAGCCGGATTTAAGGTAAGCCGAACGAGACTGTTTGGTGTAAATTTGGTGAAACTTGAAAGCATTTGGTTTCTCAAAATATAAGAATTGCATTATTCTGTGAACGGAGGAAGTACCAGTACATTGTCGGTTAGGAGCACAAGTCATAAATTCCTCAAACTATTAATGTAGTCCAGTTTACCACATACGGCTTATTTCCTCAAACTATCAATGTAGTATAGTTTACCACATCGGGCTTACACATGACGCCATATAGACTCATCAAAACCAGCTAAAAGTGACTTGTCAGATACTATACTAGATAGTTTATGTCTTGTTAGATATTCTCGTATCTACCTCAATCTACGTGTGTAAATGTGTATTGAAGTGGAACTTAAATTAATTTACATCCTAATACACCTAATATATGTAGATTAAGGTGAATATGAGAGTATCCGAATAAGACCAGGGTGTATAAGATATCAGGTTCTTTTTGCTCCGAGGAGGAAAATTAGATGACGTCTAAAAAAGGTAAATTTGACTCTCTTTTTTTAACAGAAGATCTGGTCCAGAACGCTCTATTCCCGACCTCGCAAGTATCAGTGGAAAATATAAATTTCACATCGAGACGAAGTCCATATCGAAAGCCCGCGACTACCTTAACGGCCCACGGAGGTCCAATTGTGTAGGCCCTTCATCGTAACGCCGCCGTCTGCTGCTGCGGTGCTGGTGCGGTGGTGCTGCCCCAGTGGCCAGTCCCGCGCCCGCCAGCGCTCCTTCCTTGCCACGCATCCCGCCCTGCCCAGGCGAAATAGCAAGCCGCCATGGACGAAGATGCGACGACGAGCAACTCGTCCGCTGCCGAGACATTCGATCCGGTGCGTTTCTCGCCCGATCCCTTCTCCGATTTTTCTTTCGGCTCAAACTCTTTTTATCCGACAAGTTGTGTCGATCTATCTGATTCTGATGACGCGCTTCTGGATTTGAGCAGGAACTGATTCACGCCGTCTTCAAGCTGGTGTGGCGGCGGCGGGCAGGGAAGGGCGGCGGTGGCGGCAACAAGGAGGGCATCGACGTGGAGGTGATTCGTTGCCCCCCCGCAACCTAGATGTTCAGTTTTTTTTACTGACCCTTTTCCCCTTCTACTGACCTGTGTGCTTTATTTCCTAATCGTCAGCCTGCTCCAGAAACCTCCAGGAGAAATCGGAGTACAACTGGTAAGCGAGTCCTTTTCTTGTTTGCTAGAGCTAGCGGCATGAAATGGCTTCGAGGAAGTCCACGTTTTGGTGCAGCCAAATGGCATCCGTTTGCAAAGAATCTGTTAGCCAATGTTTCCCCAGTCGCTAATGTGTCCTCTTGCATAACCTAAGTGAAAGCACGAATAAAGAAAAAAATGTGCTTAAACTTTTGTTTCCCAACATAGGTGTGCATGTGCATAGCATATGCCCATTAGACAATTTTTGGTCAAAAGTTATTTCCGAAATTACTAAGGGGTCTGCATAAATCCAATTGGTAGCAGGTTTCTGTATGGCAAGCACGGCACTTAACAGGTTTGATCAGCCATTCATCAACGAGTCTTCCATTTGCTCTGATTAGTAGTTGTAACCATAAACACTTATCTTGATCACCTAGCACACACAAATTCTTTTAGCTTAGCACCATTTTTCTGTCCAAGTAGATGGCTTTTATACCTTCTAAGTGTGAGCTGTATTGCTACAGTGGATGTAATATCATCTTATTTGGCAATAGCTGTATGAAATGGGTAAGACATTTTTACATTGTTTGTCACGAATTGACTTGTGTAACCGCTCGTACATGCCTCAAGCGCTCAAATGGTTCAAGGCTGTCTGCACAAAACACTGATGCTTAGGTTATGTAGAGTCTCATGTGTTACTTGGGGGCACCCATTTGAACATCGGCTGCATGAAGGCTGTGCCAGGCACCGTAGGCCATCAGGCAAAGATTCTATTTGCTTTATTATCTAGTTTTAGTGGAACTGGGTTTGTTAGACAATAGACATGCACATCGTTTGTTTGCTTGGATGGATTGTAATGGGCAGCTCTATATATGAGGAATGACTGAACTGGGAAATCAAGCTTGAAAAAAGAGCCTCCTTGTGTTCCATCTAAAATAATGTAGCTCAGGGGCTTGAGCTGTTTCTCCAGCCCGTCCCACCACAACATCATGATTCATGAGTAGTGTTTTTTTTTAAAAAAAGAAGAAGAATCTGTTCTTTTGTATAGAATGGAACTAGATGGTGTAAGGTTTCCAAATACTATGTTAAAACTGGCTTTTACCTTTGGCATTTCTGTATTTTTTATGTCCGAGTGACTTACAGCCTGTTTGGTTCGACGAGTGACCCCGTCCAGAATTAGCACATCCCTCATGGGTTCACTCTTAGTAGGGTCGGTTGATGACGTTCGTTGTTTGGTTTGGTCCACGGACCATGTTGTCCAATGGTTTCCAGAGGAAAAAGTTGGTGACGCATTTATACTAGGGAAGGGAATGGGTTGATGACGAAGCGATCGATGCTGTGACTCAAACCAAACACCACGAGCAGGCTTGGATGTAGGTTCAGAATGTTCCACATCAAGTCGTTCGGCAAACCAAACACGTCAATTTCTGCTGGTGACTCGGGGTAAGAGTATCAGTAAGATGAAACCTGGTGAACAAATGGTTTTCTTTAATGAAAATTGCGGGACTGGTTTCCTTTTTTTTTATAAGTGAAGAATTGACACTAGAAAGAGTTCGAAAGATGTATTTGACTCATTTATCGCCACCCTTTAGTTTCCAGTGGACAATATACAGTTCAAAGTAACTTCACTGAGTGCATTGTTCTTGTTCAGTGGTATGCTGACATGATATGTTCACCTGACAGCCAATGCAAATGCTCTCAAAGTCAGCTGCGAGCTTCTGCGAATATTTGTTACAGGTTTGCACTCCCTTAAAAAGTGTTACATCACTGCAAGCTAATTATGTTGGGGGAAGCAATTCCATTTCTGTAGTTTAACTGAAATTTCTCTTGCAGAGGCTATTCAACGCTCTGCTTTTATCGCTGAAGCGGAGGATGGTACTGTCATTGAACCCACCCACCTAGAGCGTGTGTTGCCACAACTGCACTTGGACTTTTGAGGTACCCCATGGAGCTTCCAAAACCATCTATCTAGGCGAATGCATTTATCTAAGCATGTCTGCTATGAGAGGATAAAGATGCCTGGATATCCTTATCTTGTAAACCCACGCAACTTCTATACCGTGCTTTAAGGAATTATTACAAATGCATTTATTGGAATATTTTCGTGTTTGTATTGTGTTTGACACAACAAAACGCAGCCCAGCTGTCATCACCGCGCTGGAGCTCAGAATCCAGGTGATAAATATCTGAGCATGCAGTATTGTCTTGTTTGCTGTAACATGGACTCTAAAGTCTAAAGTGATGACTCTATTTATAAGTACCTCTAGAATCTCAACTTGTGCAATGCATAAAAGTATATATACAATGAAATTTTAGTTGGCTCTAGTAGACCTCTACTCAACTCCTCTCCGATTGAGACAGGAAGGGCGGGTGAAGGCACTGGAGGTGGAAGATGGGCGGTAAGGTCCCCGTGCGGTCACCGGCATCCAGGGTGGCGGTGGCGAGGCAGCATGGTGAGAAAGGGGTAAGAGAAGAAAGAAGAGGACAAACATTAGGGAAGAGAAGGACTGTAGCGATAGCGGTAGTAGGTGGACGTTGAAGACGCCGGCGAGGGTGCCTGTGGCCTGATCAGTGACGGAGGCTGGTGTGGTGGGGGCAGCTGGGAAAGAAAAAGAAGTGTGCGGAGAGGGAGGGAGAAGAGCACCACGTCGTTAGGCCAGTACAAGTGGAAGTTCAATGTCCCTGTCCCTGTTTTAAGACACTCGGCTGTTGGAAACAGTGTAAATAAGTGTAATTCCCATAAAATTTTTATCATCTCTCTCTATTTATACTATACCATGTTAGCTTAGTTAATACTCACGAATCTCCTATTGAGACTAGCCATGGTACAGTGTTTTTCTCTCATAACAAATCAGCGAACAGTGGTTGAAAACACTGTTCTGGCTGAAATGCTGTGAGAGAAAAACACTGTTCCGGCTGAAAAAAGAAGCCGAACGGTGTAGCCTCCAATTGCCTCCAACAATCATCAAACAAGTTGACAGGCACCGCAAGCACTGCCTATGGAGTGGAAGTGATATTAATAGTCAGGTAGCTGTCTAGCTGTATGGGAGATTGCCTGCAGAACCAAAGGAGGATTGGGCATAATCAACATGAAGAACCAAAATGTAGCCCTACTCAACAATTTTTTGGACAAGTTCACGTTGTTAAAGGGCCCGGATTATCTCCCCTCGTCTTAGTGGCTTAATTCTGCTTGTGACTCGGGGTAAGAGTTTCAGTAAGACGAAACTTGGTGAACAAATGGTGTTCTTTAACGAAAATGGCGGGACTCTTTTTTTTAATATAAGAGATGAAGAATTGACACTAGAAAGAGTTCGAAAGATGTATTTGACTCAATTATCGTCACCCTTTGGTTTCTAGTGGACAATATACAGTTCAAAGTAACTTCACTGAGTGCATGGTTCTTGTTCATGATATGCTGACATGATATGTTCACCTGACAGCCAATGCAAATGCTCTCAAAGTCAGCTGCGAACTTCTGCGAATATTTGTTACAGGTTTGCACCTCTGAAAAAATGCTGCATCACTACAAGCTAATTTACTATGTTGGGGAAGTTATTCCATTTATGTAGTTTAACTCAAATTTCTCTTGCAGAGGCTATTCAACGCTCTGCTTTTATCGCTGAAGCGGAGGATGGTACTGTCATTGAACCCACCCACCTAGAACGTGTGTTGCCACAGCTGCTCTTGGACTTTTGAGGTACCCCATGCAGCTTCCAAAACCTATCTGGGCGAATGCATTTATCAAAGCGTGTCTGGCATCAAAGGATAAAGATGCCTGGATGCATCAATCAACAGAGTCTTATTGCTGATCCATTTCTTGTAAACACACGCAACTTCTATATCGCTTTAAGGAATTATTACAATTACAAATGCATTTCTTAGACTATTGTGTTGTTATGGTATTTGTGACATAACAAAACACAGCCTGTCCGTTTTTTTTTGGGCGATCGGGTCTTATACCCGTTTTTCATTAAGATTAATGGCCAAAAGAAAGACCGAAAACGGATACAAAGGACTCATAAGTAATCCTAAGATTACCTGCGGAATTCGAAGGACACAAACAAACAGCAAGAAAAACACGAGGGGGGGACCACCACCTCAAACACCAACCGACTATGTCTGCAAAAGAAAAATACATCCGCGCAATGGTCACCAACAGAGGGGGGTGAAGTCGTAATGGCAAAGCATCCACCGGTAGAAAGCCCAGCAAATCCGCAAGCGACCAGGTAGCTGCTGCGAAGATGGCGACGACAACATCCGCAGCGACCGTGTAGCCACTGTGAAAGACGACGATAACTCATAGCGACCAGTGTCGCCACCGCAGCGAGATGATGACTACGGCAACAACAGCGCCCTAGTTGGACAGACCAAAGCGAAGAGGAAGGTGAAGCACGGCAGGCACAGTAGAAGCAAGGAGTGGCTCCGACGGATGGTGGCCAACGACGAAGCCTCCAATAAGGGAATGACGTCCACAGATGAACAACGTTGAAGAGGGCACAAGGGGGATCCGCGCAACGGACCGATCCTTCGACGATGCCTTCAGGAAGGTGGATGATGCAAACTACGCGATCGCCGTCAGCTCGTAGCGAGAAGCCAGGCCGGGTTTACACCCAGGAACTTGTTCGACCACGGTCGATGGGGGTTTCCCTTGGCCCCGACCACCGGCCCCTAGAGGCGGCCCAGCCATGGCCATGGCCAGCAGCCGCCAGCCAGCCCCGCCCTCCAATCGGACGCAGGAGCCCCAAAGCTGCCTGATCTGGCTGCCGCAAGGGGAGTCTCCCACGCACGGCACAGCAAGGCTGCAAGGCTGCCGAGCCACGCGGCGGCGGATGCCGCGCACGGCACAACGGGTAGGTGCACGCCCCGCCCCTAGTAGCCGCCCGTGGTGGGTCAGGCCGCTACCAGATCTGCGCGCGAACGCGGGACACCGACATCACCGCGCCTGGAGCTCAGAATCCTGGTGAAAAATTTGTGAGCCTGCAGTAAATTGTCTTGTTTGCTGTAACACGAACTCTAAAGCCTAAACTGATAACTCTATTTATAAGGGTAGTCCCAATGCTACGTGTAGTTTCTATACCTATTAATTTCTATAGACACTACATATATAAATCATGTTCCCAATGAATAGTTCTACATAACAATTTTTTATTCAATCACATACATTCTCTACCAATCACATCCATTCATGTCTTGGTTCTTGTGTATACATGGTTTCTAACTTAGACTCGGTTTCTATGATTTGTGCTCTCTCTTTTCAATAACTATCTTGCCACATCAGCAAAATGCTTATGTGACAGTACAATTAATGTCCATAGAAACTATGATGTTTTCTGTATTGGGAGTGCCCTAAGTATATCTAGAATCAACTCGACTCGTGCAACGTATAAAAGTATATGGCCCTATTCGCTTTGCTGAAAAGTCATGACTGAAAGTACTATTTGTTAATTTGTTGTGAGAGAAAAACAATATTCGTTCGCTAAAATAGTACCGCTTGCAAGCGAACAGGATCAATACAATAAAATTTTAGTTGCCTAGACCTCTAGTCAGCTCCTCTCTAGGTGCTGGTGGAACACAGGCGATGATGGGTAGGCCATAGCACTTCAGTTCGTGCGGTCGGTTCGCCGCGCCGTGGCGACGTGTCTGTGTGTGCCTTCGCGGGGGCGCTGGCAGGATGCAGGCTGCAGGCTTTGCAACTAGAAGGGCCGGTGCCCGGTGGCCCGTGGTACTGTGGTAGTAGAACGCGTGCGGCGGCGGCACACCCCACTTGCAGAGGTGAAAACGGTTTGGATTTTTTATCATATTTGAGACCGAATTTGTTTAGCGAGATTTCTGGATATTCAACATCTGATATCGTATTTGTATCCGAATACATAAATAGTATATTTTTATCCGATATATATCCGTTTTAAATTTGAATCCAAACAGAAATATAAAAATAAATATAATATCAGTCATATTTGTCGTGTCCGATCCGTTTTTATCCCTGCACACCTGTCGCGACGAGGCTTCTCCAAGCCGCCACCGCAGCCGACCGCTGCTCCCCCGGCTCTCTTAATAACGTTTTTTTTTTCTTCCGACACGGCTGCTATCGCCATGTGCCTCGCCGCCGCGTGCGCGTCCGCCTCCTCCCCCGCACGCCGCCTCTCGCCCTCCACCGCGCTCCCGCGCCGCTTCCTCCACAGCCTCCTCGGCGCCCCCACGAGACCTTCCCCGCCGCCACCGCCTCTGCTACGGCGCTGCTTCAAGTTCTACCATATGGCGGTACGCACGCTACCAACGCCCTGTCCCCCCTCCTTCCACCTCCGTTTCGTCTCTGAGCTCCCTTGGTCGTGGAATTTACCCGGATTATCTCGCACGGGACCTGTTAAGTTGTTATTAGTGGCAAAAGTAAATTGGATGGCTACACGGGTTAGGTTATACCGATTAAGTGGAATTGAGTGGCAGGCTTAGGTTGGAGGAACAAATTTGGAAATTAGCATGCTCTAGAATAGAACTTGATTTTGGTTATATGGCTTCGCTACTCAAGATTTGGTTTTCACTACATCCTAATAAAAAATATATAAAAAGTTCCCTTCTTATTTGTGGGCAGCTGAAGATAGTCAGCTTCTGTCAGGTGTAGCAGTCTAGCAGAGGTGATGTATCTGAAGCTCACCTCTTGCCGCAACTTTCTACTACATAGGTATCCACAAATAATTTCTGTCAGGTTTTAGGGTAATCCACAAAGAATTTTGGATTGGCCATTTGCTGCTTGTAAATATCTAGCTGCTCAATGATCATTAGAAGTACGGCAATATACTGGACAAGATGAGGGGGCTCATGATCCTAGAGTTGAACTAGCTGTATAAATACTGTTTTAGTGTGCACTTGTAGTTTGATGAGATTGTCGAATCTTCACAGAGCTATTCTTCAAGAGAAGCTTCATACAAACTTGTAGTTCCCCTGTGAAATATCCAAGTAAATAGACATTAACTTGTATTAATTAAAGGGCTTGATGCCACACTAGTCCTTTCTGTTTCATTTATGCTTCATCGTTTTTCAGTATAAGAAAAGAAAGTGAATTCAAATTATCACTGTGATAGCCTGTTTATTTCTGCAATCCCATCCTGTAGCCATACATATAAAGTGGAGTCTCACCGATTCTTGATTAACTTCCAGCAATATTGGACTCAACCATCACTGGACAGGAACAAAGCTCTGGTTGAGTACCTGAAGCAGTATGGTGCTGTTAGAACTGATAAAGTGGCGGAAGTAATGGAAACGATTGATAGAGCGCTATTTGTACCAGAGGGTACCCCTTACGTCGACAGTCCTATGCCTATTGGTTTCAATGCAACAATATCTGCTCCTCACATGCATGCAACCTGCTTAGAGCTATTGAAGGATCATTTGCAACCAGGAATGCATGCTCTGGATGTTGGATCAGGTTTGTTGCTGATACTTCAGCCATTTGCCAGTGTTCATCAGCAATTGCGGTTGAATAAGCAGCTCACTCTAATTTCAGTTTTTTTTTTATCTAATTGATGTCACAAATGCATTGCTGTCACATTGTAGGTAGCGGCTACCTGACAGCTTGTTTTGCCATGATGGTTGGACCAGAAGGTCGTGCAGTGGGAATTGAACACATTCCTGAGATTGTTGCTTCTTCTATTGAAAATGTGCAAAGAAGCGCTGCAGCTCCACTACTGAGGGATGGATCGCTCTCTTTTCATGTTACAGGTATGATGACTGGTTTATCTGTAACATGTTGAGCTATTAATTTCATTAAGCAGAAGTTTACGTGTATCCTTTAAGGCTTGTAATGTTTGTCCCTATTCACTTTATTTTCTTCAGTACTCATGTTATGATGAGCATTCCTGTTTACTTGCTGGCATGCTATTTTCAAGCATGAACAAGTTTGCAGTACTTGTTTCTTCAAATGGGGGTTCAGCCCGCGTGCTAGTACATGACACTATTGTGCCAAATGGCGATATCAAGTTGTCTTCAAATGTAGACCCTTTTGATTATATCCTGGTTCTGAAACTTGTTCTTGATGCTCATTAGCTAGAGAACCTCGCTTCTGTTGAGGCCAGCTAACTCTGAAATAACCTGGAGCTTAAGATGTCTGGCCGCTGTCAAAACTGCAGATGGCAGGCTTGGCTTTCCAGACGCTGCACCCTATGATGCTATCCATGTTGGTGCAGCAGCACCTGAGATCCCTCAGCCTCTGCTTGATCAGCTAAAGCCTGGCGGCCGGATGGTCATACCGGTTGGCACCTACTTCCAGGACCTGCAGGTGGTCGACAAGAACACGGATGGATCAATCAGCATCCAGAACGACGCATCCGTGCGTTACGTCCCACTGACCAGCCGCTCCGCGCAGTTACAGGACCCCTAAATAAGGTTCTCTGTAGTCTGTAATTCTCTACCTCGTAATGCCTGTACATATATGGTCGCTGCTCTCATGTTTCTTCTTCTGAATAGCTAGGCTCTTAGTTCGGTCATGTTTCACGAACGAGTTGGAGAAAGTGTGGGTTTCTGTAATAAGACGGATTGCTAGCATGTTTCTGAATCAGACGGTCGATAGATGATGTTTTGAGCTTCTGAACTTTCATCTGTCCGCAGCTGAGCTAGTGCTGTAGTGTACATGTACAAACTTGCTTTGCACCCGTAGTGATTCTATAGATTGTATGTATATGTTTATATGTCCCAATGCTGGCGCAGGTTCTGTCAATCAAGGCTTCACATCGGCTTGAAGTTCCTGTACGAGATAACTGCGTAGAACGGGTCGGAGCCCGCCACGCCGAACAGCCTCATCACGGCGTCCAGCGGCGAGGACGGCGACGACCCGCCGGCCGACGGCAGCTTCCTGATCACCTCGGGCTGCGTGAACCCCTCCACGCACTGGAAGTACTGCGTCACGAGCTGGACGCGGCTGTACGCCGTGCCGTCCCGCCACGCGCTGACCGCCTTCTCGTAGAACATCCGGTTGCTGAAGCTCACGATGCACACGCCCCCCGGCTTCAGCACCCGGAAGATCTCCGCGAAGACCTGAATTCATGCGAAACCGCCAATGCGATGATGCCAATAGGGAGAAACTGCCCCAACCCAAAGGCCAAAGATGATCGATAAAAGTACCTTTTCAGGGGACTGCAGGTACTGCACGCTGACGGTGCAGAGCACAGCATCGAAGGTGCCATCCTCGAGCTCCAGCTGCTGGTCCCTGTTGAGGTCCTTGACGAAGAAGTAGTCCAGGCGCGGGTTCCTGGCGAGCTCCTGCGCGTTCAGCCCGTGGCCGACGACGCGCTGGAACTGGACCTCCGGCGGCAGGTGGCTAACCCAGGAGCTCATGAGGTCCAGCACGTCCCACCCGGCGCGGAGGCGGTCCCGGTAGAGGTCCGTGAGCGTGGCGATGAAGCCGTCGTCCACGTGCGTCACGAGGCGCGGAAACGCGTAGAAGTCGCGGTCCGGCCGCGGGTCCAGCTTCGCGCGGCCCTCGGGCGAGAGCACCAGGCGCCGGACGCCGCCGGCGGCCGCGGTGGACGGCGAGGGCTGGGCGTCGTTGGAGCATCGTGGCGCGGTCCGGAGCGGGCGCCGCGATGAGTGCAGCGGTTGCGGCGGAGTGCACAGCATGGTCGCGTGGAGCGTGCGGGCTCACCCGAGTGCTGTTTTATCATTATCATATCATGTCGACCTTTTCTCCTTTTTGAAAAAAGTTATTATCTGGTAGAATAATTGAGTGCCCACGTTCTATCAGAAGTGCACCTATAAATGAGCACCATTTGATTTATTTTTCTTAATCATGAAAAAAATAGGCTGAATTTCGACCTCCCCCGCCCCCCCCCAAGAAAAAAAAAGGTGCTTCTTGCCCTGGGTAACCAGCAGGATGGGCATTATGTGTGTGCGCGCGTTTACAGATACGCTCCGTGTCACACGATTGATAGATAAAAATCGTCTCACACCCGTGTGGCCATGGAAATTCCGAGGGTGCGATTCCTGCGACTGTTCAACGGCGACGCGAGAGAGAAGGGCCCGCGTGGAAGAACGGCGAAGACCCGAGGTGCTCCAGAGCGCCGGCGCCGGTTTGCAGCTGCGGCGGGGAGACCAGGAGACCCGATAGCTTCGAGATCGTTCTGGGTCTCTCTCCTCCCCCTGCCTTCGCGTTCCGCACGTCTCAGCCACGCGGCCATGCGCCCACAGGCCACAACCCACAAAACCCACTACTGCACTAGCTTATCATCACACGCGGGACTGCCGGAGTTCAACGCCTGACAGACTGACACCTTTCCTACATGGCGCTGACGAGGCTGCTAATGATGGCCTCGCGCCCGCCGTGCTCGCTCTCGCTGTCGCTCCCGTCGCCGTCGTATAAGAAGACATCGCGCTGCTGCTGCCACCGCGGTCGCCGACTCCTCCTCCGCAGAGCAATGCCGGGAGCCTGCCAGGACCTCAGCACCATCACGCCCACGCCGCGGCAGCAGAGTATGTCGCAGCTCGAGCGCGGGTCCCTGCTGGTTGGCGGGCGCGAGCTCCTCGTCCGCGCCCCGCCCAACGTCACCCTACGGCCAGCCGGTGCCGGCGTCGCCGCCGCCTCTCGGGCGCTGCTTTCCTCGGAGCCAGGGCGGCGGCGGCGTCCAGCCGCCACGTGTTCTCCGTCGGAACCCTGGCTAGGTGAGTCAGTCGTTAGTCGTCGCACTCGCGTCGTGCAAGAACGCGACGCGCTGGCGGGCGGGGGCGCCCGTGCCACCGATTCGATTTGTATTTGTGACCGATGGTTTCGTTCTTGGATCGGTGGCCGCGCAGTGGGTGGAGGTGGCTGTCACTGTTCAGGTTCAAGATCTGGTGGATGATGCCGGCCACGGGCGTCGGCGCGGCGGCTGTGCCGGCGGAGACGCAGATGGTGCTTCTGGAGTCCACGATTGAGGCGGGTTCCGCGGCCGCGGCGGAGCGTGGCTCACTGTACGCGCTTATGCTGCCGGTTCTTGACGGCGGCTTCCGGGCCAGCCTCCAGGGGATCCCCGAGGACGAGCTCCAGTTCTGCTTCGAGAGCGGTGAGCTTTGTCTGCTGCCATCTGATGAAATTTGAAACTTTAAGTACTCGATTGCATCAATATGTGCAAAACTTGGGATTTTGATTGGAATTTCTGAGAGAGGAAATGCTGGACTGTTGGTAGGTGATCCTGATGTCCAGACGATGGAAGCAGTTGATGCAGTGTTCATCAACTCAGGGGACAACCCTTTCAAGCTTCTGAAGGAATCCATCAAGTAATGCCATTCTCTTAAGTCCTAAAATAACCCTCCTCTTGTACTTGCTTAGGCATGGTCGATAAAAAAGAAGTCTTAAAATAACCACATGGAGACAATTGGCTTAATTGCATGTTCAACTTCTTCATTTAGGATGGTGTCCAAGATCAAAGGAACTTTCACTCATATAGAGCATAAGGAGGTAAAGCTATGCTCATTTCACCTGATTTGGTAATGTTGCTTCTTGGGCAGCTTTTCATATCTTCTCTTTTTTTCATGTCTTGTTTACATTCATCACAAAATATCAGATCCCTTCAAATTTGGACTGGTTTGGATGGTGCACTTGGGATGCGTTTTACAAAGCTGTTAACCCAAGTGGGATTGAGGAGGGCCTTCAAAGGTTTGCAAGAACAAATGTTCACTTGGAATACACACTAAGAAGAGCATCTTTTGCCTCCTATTCATAGCTATCACTTACTGATAAAGTGATAATGCATTTCTTGTCCTACAGTCTGCGTGAAGGTGGTGTGCCACCAAGGTTTCTGATTATAGATGATGGTTGGCAAGAAACAGTTGACCAAATTCAAGGAAGCAGACGAAGCCATCCGTGAGCAGGCCATGTTAGTGTTTCATCCTTTGGTAACCCATAAAAGTGTGCACAGGGTGAGGGTCGGTTCCTGATTTGTATTGTAATTATGCCAGATTTGCGCATAGCCGCATAGGCTGAGTGATCTGAAGGAGAACCATAAGTTCAGGGGAGAAACCTGCAAGAATCTTGAGTACCTCATTAAGAAGATAAAAGAAAAACATGGAGTCAAGTAATTGTTTTTTTTTGTCAAAGTACTTATTCTATGATGACTTAATCTTCATATTATTTTTGGCTGATTAGAATGCAATGCATGAAACCATAGGTACGCTCTACATGTGGCATGCTTTACTTGGATATTGGGGAGGCATCTTAACAACATCTGATGCGATGAAGAAGTATAATCCAAAGTTTGTTTACCCAGTCCAATCACCGGGTAATGTTGCAAATCTGAGGATATTGCCATGGACAGCTTGGAGAAATTTGGAGTGGGCATCGTTGATCCTGACAAGATATATGAGTTCTACAATGATCAGCACAGCTACCTTTCTAGTGTGGGTGTGGATGGCGTGAAGGTTGATGTTCAAAACGTGTTGGAAACTCTTGGACGCGGATTTGGTGGTCGTGTTGCAGTAACTCGAAAGTATCAGCAGGCTCTTGAGGAATCCATTGCCCAGAACTTCAAAACAAACAACCCAGCCTGTTCGCTTGCTTGTAAATGATCGTAATTTTCAGCCGGAAACAGTGTTTTTCTCTCACACCAAACCAGCCAGCAGTAAATAATCCATGATCTGCTGCATGAGTCACAATTCAGACAGCATCTTTAGGTAGCATATTTCTAGCTGTGGAAAATATGAGCTACTGTGTAGATAGAATCTGATATAATTCTCGGTTGTTTTCTAGTGCCTTGAAGAGTGCAGTTGCTAAAGCCTCAGAAGATTTCATGCCTCGGGAACCAACACTGCAAACCCTGCACATTGCTTCTGTGGCATTCAATAGCCTATTGTTGGGAGAAATCTTCATACCTGACTGGGATATGTTCCATGTGAGATTTTGACATCTCGAGCAGTATATTTAGGCTGGTTTCTATACTCCAGTAGCAGCTAATTTTCATTTTCCTTGTGAAGAGCGAGCATGAGTCAGCAGAATTTCACGGAGCAGCTAGAGCCCTGAGTGGAGGTGTTGTTTATGTCAGGTAGTTTTGTGTAGACCATTTACTTCTATCTTCTAGTTATTTTCTTGTGGTTGCTTTTAACCCAAGCACAGGAGTTCACCATGCATGTATATTTGTTGTGATATGCAGCGACAGACCCGGGGTGCATGATTTCAGTGTTCTAAAAAAGCTTGTTCTACCAGACGGCTCGATTCTAAGAGCAAGGTATGCTGGTCGTCCTACACGCGATTGTCTGTTCACTGATCCAGTCATGGATGGCAAAAGGTATGAGCACGAATATAGCTTTACCATTTTCTTTTGCTACTAAGTTGTTCCTTATAGCATACTAATCTGTGAATTCTTCTGCAGTCTGCTGAAGATATGGAACTTGAACAATTTCACTGGTGTCATTGGAGTGTTCAATTGTCAGGGAGCTGGACAGTGGGTTTGGCCAGTGAAAGAAACTGCTTATGTTCCTATCAACATAAACATCACTGGTCAGCTCTCACCGTCCGATGTAGAATCTCTCGAGGAGATAGATGGTGATGATTGGAATGGAGAGACTGCAGTATATGCTTTCAGTTCATGTAAATATTGTTGGCTGACTGTTTCTTTCTAACAATCCCATCTTATCACTATACCATCAGTGACTGACTAGCCCTCTATTTTGTCTTCCAGGTTCTCTTTCAAGGCTTCAGAAGCACCAAAGTTTGGAGGTTTCACTGTCTACTATGACATGTGAGATTTACAACATTTCACCAATAAAGGTCAGACGTCAGATTACTTTCCCCTCCCCTCCCTTCTTACATGTATTCCACAAATATCATGTTTTTACAGAAATTCTTTGTTTCTTACACCAGATTTTCAGCGAAGTTGTTCGGTTTGCGCCTCTTGGGCTGATCGACATGTTCAACTCCGGTGGTGCACTTCACAATGTTTCTAGCATTGCAGATTCTTCAGCTACGACAATTCATATCAGATGCCAAGGACCAGGGCGGTTTGGGGCGTATTCAGCCACCAGACCGGAGCTTTGTAGAGTTGATGAAAACGAAGTGGAGTTCGCTCATGCAGAGGATGGCCTGCTGACCTTTTATCTCCCCCCTTCTTCCTCCCAGGACAACCTGAGACACGTTGAGATTGTCTACAAAGCTTCATGAACGACATTGGCCCTGTTCGCTTTGCTGAAAAGCCATGGCTGAAAGTACTGTTCACTGATTTGTTGTGAGAGAAAAAACATTGTTTGTTCGTTGAAATAGTACGGCTCATAAGACAAGCGAGCATGGCCATACCCTTATGATTCTTACGCTCCATCATGCAATTTCTGCTGCGTTCTTCAGTAACCACCACACGTGCACGTTGAGATAATGTTCCAAAGAAACATTGTTCCTGTTGGATTTGATTGTGTAGCAGTATGCTGTGCTGCAAATGTCTGTTGTATATGATTTTCATGCCACCTGGGCTGCTGTAATGTGATGGACATTGTATATATAAACTATGAAGAGAGATATTATTTTTGAGGAAAACTGGAGGGGTTTGCACCCCTACAACAAATTTATTAACTAAAACAAATAGTACAGAACATATAGACTGAGAGCCGGGAGGGAGGGAGAGTTAAGATAAAAAAAAGAAATGAGAAAAAGCAAAGCTACCACCGAAAGGAACCAAGCTAAGTTAAATCTGCAATCCATTGATCAATTTATGGATGGTAGCTTCTTTTTGTTCGCAGCAGTAAAAGCTGGAACTCAACTATGAAGTTTTGCTTTGATATTTGAAGATTTTGATCAATCTGCCGGAAGACCTTGTCATTTCTTTCCTTCCAAATGGTCCAACACATTAATATGATGACCTCCATGAAGAACAGCACCCGCAGTTGCTCTTTGAATCCCTAAAGGTTCTGAAAGGGATCAGAGTTGTGATCAACCTGAATGTTAAGCCAAGCCCAGCATTGTGTGGCAAAAGGACAACCAAGAAAAAGGTGTAGGAGTGATTCTTCAGTTGAACCATTGCAAAGAATGCAGTTGTAGTCTTGGAGATCCATATTCTTTCTTCTCAGTAATTCCCTAGTACTCAGTCTATCCTTTATAAGAAGCCAAAAGAACACTTTATGCTTATTGTGGCAATAACTTCTCCAGAGCCAGGTGTCCACTCAAATGATTGTAAGCTCTTTTTACTGAAAATTGGCCCGTGTTCCAAATGTAAAGCCATATGTCCGTAGACTCATTGAGGGAAACCCCCTCTAGAATATTTTGCAACTGAAGCATTTGGCCATCGGTTGTTCGCTTCGCTGAAAAAACAAGCCGAAACACTGTTCCGACTGATTTGTTGTGAGAGAAAAACACTGTTCCGGCTGAAAAAACAAGCTGAAAAAGACGGATTATAAGAGAAGCGAACAGAGCCATAGGCTGTGCAGGGGAGTTTGAGTCATTCCTTCAGCCAAGATAATTTGCTTATTCTTTGTGAAAGAGAATAATTCTGGGAATTTATGCATGAGAATTTCATTCCCCCATGGATCCTCCCATAAGAAGCAAGACTTACAATTATTAGTCTCAACTCTTTCCATTCCTTTGAATTTGTCTAAAAGCTTTAATATATCTCTCTACCAAAAGGAGCCCTTTTTTGAAGTTCTAGGTAACCTCCCAGAGACCCAAGGGATGTCTTCTTTATTGAAAATTTTATGAAGATGTTTGATCAGCAGTGCCTCATTTTGGGTTCGCCTTACTAAATGCTGTCAGGCTGTCCCAACGGGAACTTGTGATACGGTGCTGTATATATCACTCGCTACTGGGATTGTGGTTATTTCTCATGGCCCTTCCTCCACTCTAAAATAAATCAACTTCTAAAATTATTTTAGCCAAACCTTTTTAATTTGATCGAATTTATAGACAAAGGACACCAAGTTTTATGTCATTAAATAAACACACTACGAAAATATATTTCATAGTAATTCAATGATACTAAACATACTATAAAAATATTTTCATAGTGTATCTAATGATAGTAATTTTGTGCCGTACTCCATTAAGCGCCACATTATCTTTTAATAAGTACTACATCATCTTTCACTAAATACAATTACTATTTTAAGTCTATCAATATACAAAGCATCCACGTCATACTATCTGTTTGCCATCACATCTTTCTATAATTTTATCTAATATCCTATAAACATTTTTATTTGATTCTTCCATTAGACAATATATTTCTCGTGCATACAATGATTTTTAATTTTTTTTAGAAAGCCTCGTAGCAAGTAGAATTCTTCATACTAAAGAAAGTCATGGGCATGCATTGCGCTGATATGCTGCTGATCAGTCTCCTCGAGAATACTGCTCAAGTTCTAGGTCAGTGCTTCTCTATTCCCGTCGTTTCCACGACGTCACGTGCTACAGCTTACGTAGCCTAGCTGACGTGCTATATTCTACGGGGTGACGCTCAAAACGACCTGATCTTCCAGTTTTTGAGCTTGAGCGGCAGCTGCGCGAGCATGGTCTGCTTGGTGACCACGCTCCTGGTGCTGCTCACGAGCTTGAACCACTGGCCCTGCGGGTCGCAGCTGTTGTCCGCGCTCAGGCACCGGCACGGGTTGGTCACCACGCTCCGGCCGTCCGCGCCCACGTCCAGGCAGAGCATGCCGTCGCCGTCGCTCTCGCTCCCGGCCGACGACGTCGTCGCGTTGACAGCGACGTGCAGCTTGGAGTCCGACACGAGGCTCCACCTTGCCATCGCGTCGCCGCAGCTCACGCCAAGGGTCGCGGGCCTGCCGGCGCCCTCGGCGCGGAGGCACAGCAGCGCGGCGTCCCGCAGCGCCAGCCGCTGCTGCTGCGCGCTGTACTCCCACGCCTCCGTCTCGTTGCAGGGGCCCAGGCCCAGCTCAAGGGGCTGCGTCAGCGTCGGCGTCGGCGACCTGCGGCGCACCACCACGCACATCCCGGACACCGGGTGGAACAGCACGGTGTACGGCGCCGCCTCGGCGAGGCCGGGGCCCCTGAGCGGCCGCTGGAGCGCCTGGACCCTGCGCAGCGCGGTGTCGTTGCGCGGCCTGCACCAGGCCCAGTCGAGGACGCCGTAGACCTCGTCCAGCCCCAGCACACCCTCGCGGAGGTAGTAGCTCCCCTGCAGCGCCCAGAGCGCCCAGTCCAGGTCCAGGTCGGCCGCGGCGGCGGCGGCGCAGCCGTAGTAGCGGTTGTCGTTGGTGTTGACGCCGCGGTTGTCGACGCCGAACTCGCTGAGGATGACGGGCCACCCTTTGTCGAGCAGGTAGAAGGCGCGGCGGGTGATGCCTGCAGTGATGCGCGCGCACGCCTGGTTGGCGTTGCCCGAGCTCCACTCGGGAGTGTTGGAGAAGCTGTACCAGTGCACCTCGAACGCCACCTTCCCGGTGAAGCTGAGGTTCACCGGGCGCGAGTTGAGGAAGGCCAGGTCGTTGTCGAATTGGAGGCCCGAGAGGATGACCAGCACGCGCGGGTTCGCCGCGTGCACCGCCTCCGCGCCGTGCTGCATGTACCTGCGTGCGTGTCGACGCGGGTGGTTGTCAGCAGCTCGGTCAACTGCACCGCTTGCCAGCCGTGCGGCTACCAACTCCAGCCGTGCCATTCAAAGCTCGTCCTCCAGAACAGATGAAGCTGCTGGTGGCACTACCGGCGCACTACAGTGAATTGCATACTGTGCAAGAAACGCCATTACTGACCTTCACATGTTGTGCAGGAGCAGTGCAGACTGCAGAGAGATGTAAAGATAGCTCTGCAATAGTGTGCACTGTTCCAGTCCTGCTTCATAGGAAGCAAGCTGCCAACCACACCACTAGGGTTCATTTACGGGTCATGGGCATTGCAGATGACACAGATGAACGGGTTGGGGTGGGTAGGACCTAAGTACGACACTGAGCACGGGTATTAACACCCATGACAGAGAAACTAGTACAGTAAAACCAAGCTTATCCAGTGTTCTACTTGCACTAATCGTGTTTGCATCTTCAGAGAAGAACAAGTGATATGCTGAACAGTTTTAACCGCTTACTTGTACCAGTCGTTCGCGTTCTGCCTGGGGCCCCTGAGCTCGTTGCGAAGGCTCATGCCGACGACGTTGGGGACGCCGGCGAACATGGTGGCCATCTTGGTGAGGCCGTCGACCCAGACGTCCGGGTCGAATAAGGTGTCGCCGAAGAAGCCGTTGCCGTCGGTGTTGCTGCAGCACCAGCCGGGCTTGCTCAGGTGGTTGTCCAGGATCACCATCACGTTGTGCTCGCCCAGGCTGGTCACCACGGCCTGCATGCACACCCGATTCATACCACAATGTCACGTCTGAGTGCTCGGCGGCAACAACAACCGTACCCGTACGTGTCGTGTCGTGCCGTGTCGTCAGAAAAGAGAGAGAGACTTGCCTTGAAGGCGTCGATGAGCTTGAGGTCGACGACGCCGGGGTTGTTCACCCTGATGCCGGCGAGCGACTCTGTGAGGTTGAGCCGCTGGAAGGACTGCGCGACGGTGAGGTCGGAGTAGGAGGCGTTGGTGACCAGGAACGTGGGCCACGTGAACCTGACGCAGTTGAACCCCATGGCGGCCACCTCCCCGGCGATGGCACCGACGGGCCGCTTGCCCAGCCCCTCCGCCAGCATCGGCTCCAGGTGCGACGGCCAATTCACGCACGCCAGCTTCACCCGGCTCCCGCTCTTGTCCACCACCCACCGCGACGCCGTCGACAGCGTCGGCGCCGCCACGGCCGCCGCCGCGCACCCGTGGTGACACGCCAGCAACGAGGCCGCCAGAAGAAGAACGAGGGCCACGCACGCGGCGAGTGGAGAACACGAACACCCCATGGTGGCGGCAATGTGAGGGACATGTCGGGCGGTGGACGTGGAGATTTATAGCAGGGCCACGGCTGGTTGCTTGCTTCACGCCATGGCTGGCCTGACGGGACAGGCAGGCGCCGCTGGGCCTCGTCGCCTCGACATGTGTGCGCACTGCGCACAGGGATCTCTTTCAACAAGTAGTCCTGCCTGCCGATGATTAAAGGCTTGGCATGGCAGCAATTCGACAACTTAACTGTTTCAGATATAATCTGTGCTTCAAGGAAGGTCATTGTGGCGAGTAATGAGATCAGTGCTGTGCTCCTAATTCACATCAGAGAGAGGATGGGAAAAACAAAAACAAATCGGAGGCCAGCCCGGCCGGTAGAGGGTTGGAGGGAGTTAAATGGCCACCTACCATCTGCGCTCCAATTTTTCCAGGGACGCCGATGCCGTGCCTGCTGCATTCAGCAACCAGCGTACCATTTCAGTGTGCATGCTGGCTACTTCGAGTGCCACTGTGCCACAACCCCCTGGAATTGGTTGCGATGTGCAGAAAATCTGTACTAGTGCGTGCGCAATGTGCAGGATGGTTTTGCTTGTAATCTAAGAACTCATACCGTCCCGCAAGTGCTGCCAGATCATGCAAACTAGTACATGTGATTCCATATATGGGCTAAGAATTTTCTAAGCAGAGTAAAGCATTGCCAAATGCTGGTACGATTGCGTTCAAATGAAAGGGCGGAAAGCGACGGAATGAGAATGAACAAGCAGAGCGTACTATATAGAAACCAAAAAGGTTGTTCTAAAGCAGATTCAGCCATTCAGGTTCACGCTTCACACCAGGATTGTCTTTTGCGTTACTTGGGGTGTCTATAAAACGCTCTTGTGTTGTGGGCTTGACGAATTTTTGTTTATCACTATCTGTGGATCTGTACGAGCGAGATTGGCTCTGCAACAGTACAAGAGTTTCAGAATTCAGATGATGATACATTGAAGCAAGGGTGCTGTTGGTAACAATCTCGTTTCCATGTCTGCCCCTTTTCCTGCGTAAGAGTTTTTAAATGGCCAAAACTCAATCTTGCCATAGCCATAAATCAAATCGCCGAAACTTGGTCTAGAGAGCGATGAATTCGCAAAAATTAAAAAAAAACTAGACCTAAGAGGAACTAGGTAACATTTTATTAATTAACAAAACAAAATAGACATCCAAATTCTCCTCAGTGAGAAATTGCATTTGGGCGGTCTAACCAACTGAGGTATCTCAGTTTCTAACTCTCAAGGATCTCGTACACGCAACATACATGAACACGGTGGATATCCAATCTTGGTACTGCAAAACAGCAGCTTTTCGGACAATTTCTCTTCTCTCTCTCTCTATATATATAAAACCAAAGAGCAACATATTCGGCCTTGACGGCGACAAACGCCCACACCAAGTAAGAAACAACTTGTTAGGTTGATCTCCTCCCGACTCGGTCCGGGGCCTTAAGCCGCGCCCTGATCAGGGGCGCCCAATCGAGCCATGGTTGATAGGTCTCCGTCGCACAACGCCATATAAAGGAGGTGGGGCGCTGCCAGACACCCCCACCGACAACCCTAATCCGATCTAGAGAGGGGGCGCTGCCAGCGACGGGAAGTCCACAGCCTTCGCCGTCGTCACTGGACCACGCCTCCGCCGGGATCTTCACTGCCTCTCCTTCCCCGGCTTCCTGTGTTGCCATGGCTTCATCCTCCACCAAGCCCGACGGTCAGCTACCTCAATACTCCTCTCCCCCTCTCTCTAGTTCTCTCTCTACTTCGTGTTCTAGTTCATGATCTAGTTTGTCTTTTTCCTGATTAGAAATGTTTTCACCCGCTAGATCTACTCCTAGTGATCCTAAGGGTTGAACAATGGTATCAGTCGCCTAAACTAGCGTGTAGATCTAGATCGGGGTAGCATGTAGAAGGAGATGAATCGAGCAGAATCCGACTAACCCTAACCCTAACCCTAGAAGAAGGGGACGAAAACAAAAGGGAAAGGAGTTCCTACCTGGGGACCGCCCGCTCTATCTCCACCGCCGGTCGTCGCATGGACGTCACGCGAGAAGTCAATCCGAGCCGCCAGGGGCGAGGTCTCGCCACCGCACGGTCTCCGCCTCGGGCTCGGGCGAAAATGGCACCACCGTGGTGCCGCTCGACGGTGCCGCGCGCAGCTCCGGCCGCACGCGTGCTCCGGCTAGGGGTCCCACGGCGCCGCCGCCATCTCCTGCGTCAAAGGGAGAGAGAGCCGGCTGCCGCAGTGTAGAGAGAGAAGGGGAGGAGAGAAATGGAGTTAGGGATCGGGGGAGCGGCGCGGCGCACCGTTTTTGTTCGACCGATATCAACGGATAGGATTGCTCGGTCCGGCTTTAGGCCCAGGCGGGCGAGCAAATTTCTGGCCTAGGCCCAGGTTGCGGCCTGGGCGCGGGGGAGCGCGGGCGCACGCTACGCGAATGGGGCCCTGGGCCGGTTTCCCTGTACTAGGCCGTATAAACAGTAACATTTGTGAATTAGTTTTATTTTTTTCAGAAGCACCTTTCGATTTATTTGATGAATTTCAGTCAAAGTATGAGTTTAAATATCTGATAAAATTTGCATCAGCGTGTTAGATTTTTCCAGAGAGTAGATGAGGACTATGAAATGCTTCTGAATAATATTATTGTAAGATTATTTTCATGTTCCCGCTGCTATGTTAATATTTCATCCTTTAATTAAATTGGAACCAACGAGAAAATTTAATTAGAGGAGTAGTCATATATGTTTAAGTTAAATTATGATATTGTTATTTTTCTGACCAATGTTGATGATAACAATATTATAAATTCATGAGTTTTTTCATACATTAATTCTTTTTCTGCCCAACGGTGATATAAAATTAATGTAGAAGAATGTTATATTTATGATATTGCTGTTTGCTGACCAAAGTTGATGATAACAATATTATAAAATTTTATTTATGAGTTTTATGCATTAATTCTACTTCTGCCCAACAGTGATATAGAATTATTGTAGAAGAATATTGTATGTTTTAATATTGACCAACGTTAAATTAAGGCATGCAATTATTATGTTAAATATTTCTCATTTTCTCTGACGTTGTTTTCAGGATACAACCCAATAACGTTTATCTCGTCCATTCCGTCTCTCAATGAAAGCAATTATAACACATGGCGAGAGAAGCTTGAGATAGCATTTGCGCTATCAGATAATGATCTAGCACTAATCTCTCAGTGTCCCACTGAACCAGTGGACCCGGTGAGGGAAGCAAATAAGACCGATGCAGCTTTCGTTAATCGACAGTGTGATCATGCTAAAGTGAGATTGAAGTACGATCTTGATCGTGCAAAGTGGGATAGTTCAAACCGCAAGTGTTTGATGGTGATTAAGGGCACCATTGAGGATCCAATAAGAGGATCAATCCCAGAATGTACCACCGCCACTGCGTATCTCAAGAAGGTGGAGAGTCAGTTTACTGGCTCTTCAAAGGCTTATGCAAGCACTCTCATTAAGAAGTTAGTTAATGAGAAATACTCTGGTGGAGGAATTAGAGAGCACATATTGAAGATGAGCAATACAACATCTAAGTTCAAGCCAATAGACTTGAGGCTCAATGATGAGTTCCTAATTTATTTGATTTTTGCTTCTTTGCCCAAATAGTATGAGACCTTTGTTGTGAACTATAACTTACAGCCAGATAAATGGGACATTGAGAAGCTCATTGCAATGTGCGTGCAAGAAGATGAGAGGCTTAAGAGCTAACATGGTGACTTAGCCAACCATGTGAAGGAAAATAAAAGAAAGAATTTTTACAACAAGAAAGACAAACTACAAGGGAAACCTCAGTGGGACAATAGCTCTTTCTCTAAGTCATAAGAAAAGGCCCCTCAGAATGATCACCATCAGAAATCAAATGTTCAAGTGGACAAGGACACCTGCAAATGGTGTAAGAAGACTGGACACTATCTGAAGAATTGTTCAGATTTCTTGAAGCACCTGATGAGGAAAGATGAGAACATTATTACATTCGTAGATGAGTCCTTGTATTTGAATTATGCAAAATTTACTTGATGAATTGATTCAGGTACAACAATTCATGTTGCAAATTCCTTATAGAGATTCCATACGAGGAGGACCCTGCAAAGAGGAGAAAGACACATTAAGGTGGCAAATGGAGTCAAAGCTGAAGTAGAAGCCATTGGAGAACTCCTGTTAGAATTAAATGATGGCTTTGTACTTAAGCTTACAGATGTCCTTTATGTACCCTCTTTGCGTAGAAACCCAATAAGTGTCTCATGTTTAGAAGATAATGGATATGATTGTCATTTTGATAATGGTCAATGTAAGATTACGTTTAATAATAAGTGTATTGGTCTTGCCTTTCGATAAGACAAGCTTTATTTGTTATCACTTTGTGAGAATATGAATGATGTGAGCACTAAAAATGAGAATGCCTCCTCGTCTATGAATGCAAGAAATAAGCGGAAGAGAGTTCATGATGTATCTTTGAAATTATGGCACTGTCGTTTAGACCATATTTCGAGGGGGAGAATAGAACGATTGATTAAGAAATCAATTCTTCCGCCATTAGAATTTTCAGATTTAGAACAATGCATTGATTGCATAAAGTATGTTAAGAAAATAAAGAAAGACGTTAAACAAAGCACAAAAAATTTAGAAATAATTCACACATATATCTATGATCCTTTTCCTGTGAAAAGTATGGATGGTTATGATTCATTTATAACATTCATAGATGATTATTCTCATTATGGCTATATTTATCCAATTAAGGAAAGAACAGAAGCATTGGATAAATTTAAGATATTTAAGGCTGAAGTAAAAAATTAGCATAATTTAAAGATTAAGATAGTAAGATCCGACCGTGGGGGAAGTACTACGGTCGACATACCACATATGGTCAAGTTCCTAGATCTTTTGCAAAGTTCTTATAGAAAAATAGCATAGTTGCCCAGTACTATACACCGAGCGAGCCTCAACAGAATAGAGTA